TGGAGCTCAGAGTCTGAAGCTCCCTCCCGATTGTAAACAACAACCGCGCCCTCCGCGCCGCCAGACCGCTCCGCGCGCGCACTCGTACCTGAGAATTTCACTTCAGCACTGCACCTCCTCTGAGTCTGGATATGATATTCTCTTTACTCCTAGTTGTAGAATTTCCACTCAGCCAGCCCTCCTGTGGTTCTGGATGTTGTCCGTTCCCTGTTTCAGGCTTAATTTGAATTGGTTGTTCAAGGCAGCAATCTCCGGCGTTAACCTATGCCGCCATCTTCGGTTCTCTCTCGAGCCCCTCTTTTTTAGAAAGACCGCACTGCTGGAGCGCATGTCATTTCACCTGCCATGTGGAGCCACCCAACATGGCAGCCCAGAGTGAGAAATATAGTCTGAGCTGAGAAGTTTTCAGGCCAAGCTTTCCTTTTTTTAAATTTTTTATACATTTTGTATTGATTTCAGAGAGGAAGGGAAAGGCAAAGAGAGATAGAAACATCAATGACGAGAGAGAATCACTGATCAGCTGCCTCCTACACTCCCCCTGCTGGGGATCAAGCCACAACCTGGGTATGTGTCCTTGACAGGAATCGAACCCAGGACTCTTCAGTCCACAGGCTGACGCTCTATCCACTTAGTTCAGCCAGGGAGGGCCCAAGCCTTCCTTTTCTATGTGTTTTTACCATAAGCGTGGCCAGCCTGGGAGGCAGTCGTTTGGGGAGAAACAAACTTGCTGATCAGCCCAGTGAGCGAGTGTCCTAGGAAGAAAGGAGCCTGTCTGACCAGGGGTCCTTTCTCCCCTCAGGTGGCCTGTGCTATCCAGGAAGTGGTCTCCATAGGCACCCCTGTGACCAGCTTGTACCCACAGCTGTTCACTCTCCTCCTGAAGCTGGTCAGCTGCACCCTGGGCCAGAAGATGCCCACTGCTGCCTGGAGCTACAGGCGGCGGGTGATGCAGCAAGGGGAGCGGCAGCAGATCGCGGACCCCTGCAGGCAAGTAGCCAGGCAGGGAGGGCCTTCTAGAGCTGTCCTGATCGCAGGCTGCAGAGCCAGGACTGCAGAAGTCAAGGCCAGTGCCTTCTGGCACAGCCTCAACTACCCATGCAGATATAGGGCTCTACAATCCCTAAGCCATGGAGCAAATCTTCCCCAAGCCCCTACCCAGTGGAATTGCCCAGAGCAGTCACAGAACGAATGAGCAGCTGTCTTCTTCCCAGATGTCCCACTCTGTTTCCTTTAGTTGAGACATATATATTATATATGTATATATTATATATATAATTTTATTTTTTTAATTTGATTTCAGAGAGGGAGAGGGAGAGAGAATCATTGATTGGCTGTCTCCTGCATGCCCCCTACTGGGAATCGAGTCCACAACTGGGCATGTGCCCTGACCTAGAATTGAACCATAACCTCCTGGTTCATAGGTCAACAACCACTGGGAAACAATGGTCACACACTAGCCATTGAGAGATGCATTCTGACTTCTGAACTGCTGTTTCAGAATCAGTGAAATATGGTCTTTTTCAGTTTCCATCCTTTAGTGCTTCATTTTCTCATGAAAGGTTGGCGAGATGGTGTGGCATTATTTACCAGCTCAAATCATCTCGATGTTCCCTTTGATCCCAAAACTAAAGTATGAGGTCAAGCTGCCTGTGTTTCCCCGGCCTAAATCCATTAATGCAGGAGTGAAGGAGCATTATGGGAAAGAGGAAGGGTGAACCTGGGACATCTCATTGCACTGTACGGGGTTGACTTACTCTTGTGATGCCAACTGGCCCTCCCACCCGTCAGGCTCTCAACCACAACTCTGAAGTGCGTGCAAACCCAAGCCATGAGAGAAGGCCTGGCCAAGGAGTCTGACGAAGGGGACAACTTATGGACACTGCTCCATGGTCCCAGCACCCACCACATAGGAGTGTGTGCACTGGCCAGGTAACCTGCCAATGTCCAAGAACTGCATGCAAAGGAGAAAACTCAGAACAGGCAGCTTCACTGTGAGCAGTTGACCCACCAAGGGCTTGTATACAGTCAAGGAGAAGAAACAAGGAAGAAGGAGCAAAGGGGGTTGGGAAGAGATGGTAGGATCAGCCCAGAACTCACGACCCCCTCAAAAGAACAGGGACACATTGAACAGTTCTGGACGCGTTGTATTTACTAGTACATTGGGCTCTTGGTATGCAATCTCTTTCCTTGAACATTCCCCTTAGAGGACTTATTTTCCTGATAGAGAAATAGACTAAAATTTCCTCCATTGTTTAGCAATAAATAAGCCTTTGCTGCAGCTGGAAGCTTGCGTTTTCTAGGAGCATGGCCGTGTGGCACCATGGAGTCACGGTGGACATCATGGGGAAGCTCTTCCCATCGCTCACCTCCTCCTCGGAGAACTACCGCATAACCGGCACAGCGTTCTTCTCTGAGGCAAGGCCAGTGCCCTCACAGCAGGCTTGCGGGGCCCTTGCGGTATTTCTCTCAGGGACCTGCAGGGGACCTTTGGTAGTGGAGGAATCCAGCCACTTCCAGAGACGTGGCACCTGAGCAAGGAGTGAGAAAAACACAGAGCCCACCCTCAACCTCCTCCTTCCCTCTGGTCTTCAAAAGCCAACCTCCCAGGACAGAGGAGGGTGGAGAACAAATGCAAGAGGGATAAAACCAAAAGGCATATTACTGTCCCCCAGACTCTGGGATAAAGGCCGTCCCGGCTGGTCCAGAGAGGGGGCATTGTCAGTAACTCCTGGTTTCCCATTTAGTGTAATTAGAAGCATCTTCTTCACTGGGTATTCTGTTGTCATCACCACATAACCTTGACCTGTGGGCTGCTCACATCTAGAGCTTAGCTTCTGCAAGACTTGCTTGTTCATCAAGGGCCCTTCCCCCTCTGCTCCATGAGCAGCTGGGCCTCCTCTTCAACTGTAGTTCTGGTGCCTTTGCCACTCTTCTGAAGGGAAGCTGCTCCCTTAACTAAAGGGGAGGAGTGTGTTGATTTCAGCTCATGAAGGAGCCGATCCTTTGGAGGCACTGGAACCTCCGTGACGTGCTGATCTTGATGGATCAGAGCGCCTGGGACTCCAATGCCACTTTGAGGCAAATGGCCATCCGAGGGCTCGGTAATACAGCTTCTGGAGCCCCTCAAAAGGTAACAGGAGGGTTGGGGGGGTGATACTTTATTTAAATAGAGTTTGAAATACTTATTTACAAACCCACTTTTGGTTGCAAGAAAGTAAGGGCAAATCCCAATAAATTGCTGAAGTTGTAGCTCTTGATTTGCAGTACCTGTGACCCTAACAAACGTTCAGTCTCCTTGTCTGGGGTCTTCTACCCTATTGCAGATACACATGCAACAGTTTTTGAGATTGAGCGACTCTGTTTCAAAATAGGTGCGGAAGCATAAGCAGCTAATGTTAGAATCTGTCATCAGAGGGCTGTACCACCTGGCCCGCACCGAAGTCGTCTGTGAGAGCTTGAAGGCTCTAAGGAAGATCCTACAGCTGCTCACAGACCGAGACGTGAGCTTCTACTTCAAAGAAATAGTGCTGCAAACAAGAACCTTCTTTGAAGACGTAAGTGAGCCTGTTCAGGAATCTTCCCTCCCCAGAAGAAGTGAGTGAACACAAAGAGGTTCAGGTAGTGCTTGTAGCAGACAATGTTGGTGTCCCATCCATATTCCTTGGCCTGCCCAGAGGTCACCTGCCTCAGAGGTCACCTGCACAAAGGTCACCTGAGCAATTCCTCTGCAGGCTGTTAGCTTCCTGTGTCTCTCTGTGTAAGGGGACCCTCTGGCCCGGGGATCCTAATTGGTCTGAGCAGGGTGGACTGGACATTAGGAAAGGACCCTCAAATGATAAGAAACAGGAGTTTGTAGAAAAACTCCCCAGCTTCCTCGCCCCTCAGGATTGAGCTCCACCTTCTCACTAGGGTAACACACTCATGAATATTCCCTGTTGTAGCTTTTGTCTCTTCCCTATCACATTCCCACTCCCCGTCATGCTTCCTGGGCTCACCTCCTAAATCAATTACTTACGTCTAAATCCTCATCTCAAAGTGTGCTTTGGGGGGCATGCAAGTTACAACAATACTCAGTACAAGACTAGGGCCCCCATATGACCTTGTCGCCTCCAACACTGTCTTTTCCACATCCAGGAGTCAGAGACTCAAAACGCTTACGTGGTTTATTTCATCCAGGAGTCAGTAGGAACCAGCTCTTGGGCCAAATCTGGCCCAGAGCATCTTTTAGTGAATTGGGTTTCACTGGAACACAGCCACACTGGCTGTGTGGAGCACGCTCACTGGTTGCATAATGTCTGTGGCAGCTTTCCCACTTCGTTTGCGGAGTTGATTAGTTGTTACAGAAACCAGATGCCCCACAACGTTCAAATGATTTACCGTCTGGTCGTTTAGGGCAAAGTTTCTCAAACCCCTGATCTTATAACCCGAATCTCAGAAAAACACCAGGCAGCCATCCTGGGCGGGGGAAGAACATTTTCCTTTATAACTTCTGGGAAATTTGATTTTATGATTTGTTTTTGGTGTATTCACTGTCGTCAGTGTAAAAATCTATTTCACATCTAACTTAAATTGATATTTTTGTGATCTAAACCTGTTTTTTCCATGTTATGTTGTCAGAGGAGATGGAAGACTGCTCGCTGCCTCCTTCTGAAACATTAAGGCTTTATTCAATTACCTATTTACCTCCAGTCTCCAGACTGGGAAGTCTATGTTTCCTTCATTATTCATCTTAACCTAATTTTTCAGCTCCTGCAGTATTTTACGAGCCAGTGACTGTGTTGTACTTCTCAATGAGGCCAGAGAAATATCAAATGTTATCTAAAGAAAAAGTACCTCAGATCTTCTCTTTTCCTAGTCAATCACTCTTTTTTTAAAAATCTTACCCTTTCTTCGTGACTCTTTGGCAATATATTAACCGTACAGACGTCCAGGTTTTAGCTTGCAATATATGCCCAGGTCAGTAATTCTCCAGTTTCGTATTTGTCAGTGTCCCTTGTTTACTTACCTGCTAGCCTCAACCTGACCTTTGCAAAGATCTTTCTGTTCATTTCCAACTACTTTCTCCAATGTGTCAGGATTACTCTTAATTCCCATCTGGTTCTCAAAAATGTTTACTTGGCTCCCACTCAGGTCAGTATCTTCTGTAAAATAACAAATGTGCTCTCTTTTTCCATTACACAGACAGTTGACCACCTTTAACAACAAAGGTCTGAAGTCCCTCCTGCAGACCCCCATCTGTTTGTTAGGTTTCCTGGGGTGTTTGTTGACCCAGCGATCATAATTCTCCTAGATCTGAGCCTCCAAAAGCCACACATTCACCTGCGACATTAGTGGTCGAGATCATCTTTTTCCATCTTATTGCAGAAGAAAAACAATCGAAAATCTTGCTGGTTAAGTTAGACCTTTCTCATGTCTACTCTGGGTCAATTCCATTGCATTTGCATAAAAGTTTGGTAAAACTTGAGTCATAGCAATGACATGCAAAGTATTCTCCCATAATGCTCTCTTTCTGCAAACATATTTAGCTGTACTTTATGATACTTTGCCCCTGTAGTTTCTACAGATTAAACATACAATTTTGTGATCTCCAAATCCCCCCACCTTTTTTTCAATATTTAAGTATTTTCCAGGACTTTGCAGAACATGGAGACACTTTGATGAAATGGTAGAACAGAAAATAAGGCTGTGGTCCCACCTCCAGGCCCTGCTTGCTGCTATTTCCCACACTGTCACCCTGAGCAATCACCTTACTCTCCGTGACTCGTCTTCTCCCTTCAGAAGAAGGACATTAAACTTCAATGTCTCTCCCAGCACCCAAAACCCTTGTGCTACTTCTCTTTGCTGCTTTTTCATCATCCCAATTAGCTGATCCTTCCTCAAACTATCATGAGGTCATCAATTTTGGAAAATTCAAAAGATTTCTTTAAGTAAATATCTCTCTACTTCTGGGGCACTCTATTATTAGTCTTCTTTCTTTTTTAAAAGAATACCTTTTGAAAATATATCCTGGCCACATTCCTAGGACATTTAAAGAATATTTCTATTACACAAAGTCACATCTCATATATTCATTTAACTTTGCCGGCCCTTTCACACAGACCAGCATTATGTTTCCTGGACGATCTTTATTAACTTCCCTTTTCATGGCATTTTGTTTGTGTGTCCACTTATGCATTCAATTTTCCTTCAGAATTAACTCCTCTACCTTCTCTTTCTTTCTCGTATTCATGGGAATGCTTTTTGTTGGCCCTTGTTTATTTCTAATCTAAATATTATCCTGCTACTCAGGACGACTTTTTCTTTCATTCCTCTGCCCCTACATGAGTATTTTAATCTAATTTTCTAGACCTGGGGTTTGGAGAAAAGCACTCTGGAAAATTCCTCCAGGTTTGTTAGAACTCTGAACCAGATAGGCAAAGTATCTGAGGTAATAGAAGGCATCTTTCTCCACCACTATACCCTATGATAGTTAAAAAATCATTGCCTACCATTCAGGACAACAAGCAAAGAAGTCCCAGAATCTCACATCTGCAAGAATAGAACTAAGCACTTCTTTGTTTGTCCTCTCTCTTTGAGACCCAAAGCTCAAATTTCTAAGCTGCCTGTAATTTCATTAGAAAGTATTTGCACCCAGTCGGCATGGCTCAGTGATTGAGCGTTGACCTATGAGCCAGGAGGTCACCGGTTCGATTTCTGATCAGGGCACATGCCCAGGTTGTGGGCTCGGTCCCCAGTGTGGGGTGTGCAGGAGGCAGCCAATCAATGACAGTTCCTCATCATTGATGTTTCTATCTCTCACTCCCTCTCCCTTCCTCTCTGAAGTCAATAAAAATATTTTCTTGAAAAAGTATTTGGGAACTTGGAGAAGGGTCCTGGCCCTTGGACAGTTTAGATTAGAAACGCCATAACCCTAGGCTCCTGATGCAGTCAGGCTGATCTGTGTAAATACAAAATAAACAGGAACTCTCCCTGGCCTGCTTCCTGCTTCTCATTCCTGTGGTCACATTTCCCCATCAGCCACTCAGAGGTAGCAACCAAGTCTCCAGTTCTGTGATGTCCCTTAAACCCTTGACCCAGAGTCATTTAAACTTTGGTCATGTGCGTTAGCGAGCTGCTGGGAAGGAACATCTGGGGGCTGTGACCGGTCGGTGGCCATGCATGGGTTCCAGCCTTCCTTTGTGAAATAGGGCCGGGCAGGTGGGGTGAGGAGGGGGTTCTGGCTGGAAATGGCCCGAAAGGGGGCTCACCGATGACTTGCATCTGTCGCCACAGGAGCAGGACGATGTGAGACTGACCGCCATTGCCTTATTTGAGAATCTGGCATCCCTAACAGGAAGAAGGTGGAAGATTTTTTTTGCAGAAGAAATTAAAAAGAGCATGATTTCATTCCTTCTCCACCTCTGGGACCCCAATCCCAAGGTTGGAGCTGTAAGTGGCCCCTGCACAGACCCCTGCGCCTTCTCCTCTCCTGCGGCCGAAAGTGCCCGCACACCCAGTGGCTGGGCTGGAGTCAGAACTGAAGTCCCCACTTGCAACTGAACCTGAAAACCACTTCTCCAACCCTGGCTTCTCTCGTGCCACCTCTTCCCAAGCTTGCTCTTCCATCCCTGAAACCGGGAAGGTGCCAACTCCAAATAGGAAGCCCTTCACATCACTGACTTCTCCTGCTCCTTGCCCAACACTAGTTGACATGTCTTCCTCCTGGGAGGGGGTGCAGCACTGTGGACTGTGACGCAGAAAACTCTTGTCTTTCAGGCTTGCCATGATGTCCTGGTGGTCTCCATTCCTTTCCTGGGCCTCCAGGATCTCTATGGGGTATTAGACCGTCTCCTTGACAGTCAGGATCCACCAAGGGCCAGGGATTTCTATAGGCAATTCTGTGTGAAACTGGTAAGTGTGCAGTCAATGTTGCCTGGAAAAATCACAGGCAAGAGTCCCAGCAAATCCCAGAAAGACAAACAACAGAGCAAGGGATCTCTGGCCAGACGCAGGACTGTCTTGGAAAGACGGCAGTGATTCTTGGTATTCTGCCTTATTTCCCAAGTCCTGGCTAGAATCTGTTCTAGATTCCTGCAACACCCCTGTCGATTAGACCCATAAGCCCAGTACCTTTCCGATTAAATTTAGGTTGGAATAGCCATACGACATCTTCCAATAGAATAAGTAATGGCTGTGTGAGTTTCGCTGGCCTTTATTTTTTTCCTTCTTATGACCTCTCGGTTGCTGATTTTGAGAAAAAGATCTCTTTCTGGTTGCCCACTTTGCAATACGTATCTCTTCTAGGCCAAGAAAAATCAGGAAATCCTGTGGATCCTCCACACACATTCATTCACCTTCTTCAACAGCAACTGGGAGATGATCAGGAGTACAGCTGTCAAACTCACAGGTGAGGGCACCTCCACATTCCCCCCTCAGGTATGTCTGCTCTTTGCACCTAGTTGTGCTTTGACTGCAAGTTTACTCCAACTTGAAAACTGGTATAATGAGTATGACAAGAAAGAAGGAGAGGAGAAAGAAAGAAAACAAAAGAAAGAAAGGGAGGGGAGGTGGAGTGAGGGAGGGAGGGAAGAAGGAAGGAAGGAAGAAAAAATGTCATATCTTGCAACATCTCCCTTCAAAGGAACCTGTTATCTTTGGGGAATGAAAACTTACATCTCCTGACTTTCCAACACTCACTCTGCATTCTGGACCTTTTGTGCTTCTTTTGGTTCCAAGTCATTGCTCCTTCTTTTCCACAAGATTTTGCTTCAAGCCTGCTGCCCCTGCCTAAACGTTTGCCTTTGCATCACTTCTTAACATAAACCATAACACACCTAAGCTCAGTCAAGCTGAGAGCTTTGACAGCAGCTGGATGCGAGTGCAAAGTGTGTTGGTGTGGGGCCAGCAAACCTTGGCTCTGCTGTGTGGCTCTGGACAATACACTTAACTTCTCTGTGTTGCCTCTTTGTCTGGTCTATAAAATAAAAGAGGATGTAGGTGAATCTCAACCCTTCTATTATGTAATTCTAAGTCTGTTCCAACTGATCAAGCCCACAGTGAACAGATCCACTAGCGTGGCCACTTTGAAGAGTAAGGATTCTTTATTCGATCATGTATATGATCCCACAACTACACTATAAACTTTTTGAGGATAGGGACCATGTCTTACACACATTTGAAACCCTGACAACCATGGGCACAGGCCCGGGGAGGACACAGTACGAGCTTTCTCAAATGCACATCGAATGTGTGACGGCACTCCAGACCCAAGAGTCATGATCCTCGCACCATCCTGGGGTGTGTGGAGTGCTGTATAGTTTGTTCATTCGCTAGCCAGACCATTTAACCTCTGACCAGGTGCAGAGTCTGGCCTGACCCCTCACGTGGCCTCTTCTTCTCTAATGAAGTCAGCATCTTTTTCTCCTGTTGATTTTAGATGCCATTGTTCTCAATCTGACCAACCAATATGTGGAATTATTAGACAAAGAACAACTGATCACACGTGAGTACCAGCCCCCGTTTCCGCCCAGGGTATTGTATTCTGAGAGAGAGAGAAACGAATGCTGCTCCAAGTTTCATGCCAGCCCAGAAACTGAAAACCCTTGTGCCCCATTGTTGTCTCCGTTGCTCCCCGGATGCTGGAATCTCTCTGGGGTATAAGCCAAGCCCAGTCCCACCCTTTCCAGGCTTCCTAGCCAACAGTTTTCCAGTTGTCTATTGATCGTAAGGTCAGGATCTTCCCTTACCTCATTTCAGTGTTAAAACACATTCTCAGCTTGTGGCTCCAAATCCTACCTTTTAGGGTAAACTGAGAGCTGGGATCTGGAGCCCACCTAGGCCTGACCCTCAGTGGGGGGCCCGCAGAGCCGCACATCCTGGGTCTTGACTTTCCTTCCCCACTGGACTCTGCTATTCTCTCCATCTCAGGGCTCCAAGCACTTCGGCAAGACCCCTGTATCAGTGTCCAGAGAGCAGCCGAGGCTACTTTGCAGACCCTCCTGAGAAGGTGTAAAGAGATGAACATCCTTCCATAAACCATCAGGAAATAAACTCCTGTTCCCATAACTGACTGCTGTCTTCCTCCTGGTAACTCACAGGCCTGCAGCATCCTACGGAAAGACACGGTGCCTGGGTGGGGTCTCCTGCCGGGGTCACCAGGGAAAAGTCACTCTCGCAAATCCACAGCCACACAGCTTTGCCACAGATTAGCCCTCTCTCAGGAAACTCAAATCCCAGCAGATACCAAAACACGACAGAACTGGAAACCATTCCGCTGCCATTAAGAAGAGGGCCCCTGCTATTTCCGCACACAACCCTTTTTCCTTCTGTCTTAGCCATCTGTGAATTGCTACCCACACTCTTCTCTTTCTAATAACCAACTTGACAGGAAACTCTAACCTGTCTGTTCTTTCTGGGTAATAATTGATGTGTCAGGACTCTGACGGTACCTCCCTACAAAAGACCCTTTCTGACATTATGTTAAATCTCATGGTCTCCTCTCCATTTTCATCCCAGAGCATTCCTCCCCTTAAGTTGTGTGTGTGTATATGCACGTGTATGTGTGCGTGCATGTGTGTGCATGTGTACTCATTTAGCACCACCACCATCCTGATTATTTATCAGCAACATTACCCAATTGAAGTATCCCTTTACACACTCCTGTTACTTCCATTCTGATCTCTTCATCTGCAGACTCTTTGAGGAAGCATCTTTTGTTCTTGTAAAACTTTCTAAAGACCGAAGAAATCTTCTAGGTCAGAGATTTTAGGCCAGAGTTCAGTTATTCAATCGGTTAGCCAATACTTATTGAGTGCCTACAATGTATAAGGCATTTTTGTAGCCACGGGTGCTACAACTATGAAGAAAACATATTTAAAAATTCTACCCTCATGGAGCATATTCTATGAAATCTGTATATCAATTCTAGAGGCAGGAGCCAGCCTCCAAGGCAGTGTGATTCTTGCTTCCTGGGGTCTCAGTGGTCTCCTCCCGCGACGAGTAGAAAAATAAAAATGGTCTGTGCAATCAATACAATAGTTCAGAAATGACAAAGTGTGACTTCCTAGGCAAGGCCATCAATGGCGTTGCACTCTCCGGAGTCACTTGCTTTGGGGGAAGCCAGCTGCCATGTTATGAGGACCCCCAAGCAGCCCAGAAAGAGTTCCAGAGCAAAGGACGGATGCCTCCTGCCAACACCCAGGGCTAGCTTCCTAGACATTTTAACACTCCATCTTGGGAATAAATCCGAGCCCCAGTGAAAGTCTCAGATGATTGAAGCCTCAGCTGACACATGGCCGGGGTGATGAAATAAAATACAGAATGCCCAGTTAAATCTGAATTTCAGGTAAACAATATTTTTTTTTTTTAGTGAAAGTATGTCCCGATTATTGCATGGGATCTACTTAAAGAATTATTTATGGTTCATCTAAAATTCAAATTTAACTAAGCATCTTGTATTTTATTTGCTAAATCTGACAACCCTACTGCAACCTAATGACAGCCCCAAGCCAAAATCACTAAGCTAACCTCCTCCTGAATTCCTGAACCACAAAACTGTACGAGATAATAAATCTCTGTTGCTTGAGCCACTGGGTTTTGAGGTGATTTGCTATGCACCAGTGGGCAACTGTCACACGAAGGGCTCATGATCCCACCAAAGTTGTATGCAAATGTCTGAGTATAATTGCATAGGTGCATTTTCTGGGTAGTGGCTTTCATTAAATTTTTAATGGAGCCGGAAGTTGTTCCCAACCCTAACATGTGAAACGGAGCAAGGAAAGAAGGCAAGGAACATGGGTTGAGTTGACCTCTTTGGGCAGTTCAAGTTAAGTGGCTTTGTGAAGCAGCTCTGCCCAGAGCTTCCTGCAGGGATGGATCTCTGTGCTGCACTGACCAGCGTGGTGGCCACAAGCCACATGTGGCAACTGAGCACTTGGGATGCGGTTTGTCTATCTGAGGAACTGAATTTTCATTTTTAAGTTTAACTAAATGTAAGTGGTCATATGTAGCTAGTAGGTACAATATTGCACAGGACAGTTTCAGAACATGGGACCAAGAGTTGTAATAGAATTTAGGCCGAGCCACCTAAGCACCACCTGAACGGATGTATAAATTCACTAACATGGGACCCTGACCAATCCTCTTTATAAATCCCCATGATTCCTCTCCACCCCTCTTAGCACCCAGCAGAGCCTTCCTCATCATCAATTTCTGGGAATTCAGGAGAATGGCCGCATGAAGTACACATTGCCATTGAGCCTTTATCTGTCTAAACCTGAATCTTAGAAAAATTCACCCTGACAAGAATTTCCAAGACTTTTTTTTTAAATCACATCCCAGCTCCACCTCTTAGAGCCATGTTACTCGGGGAAATCATGTGACCTCTCTGTATTCCCGTTGCAACATCTGTAAAATTAGGATAATAATTATCTTCATCAAGGAGCTATTGTGAGGATTAAATGCATTAACGTACAGGTAGAGCAGTTAGAAACATGGCCCAGAGTCATTGTTAAGCAAATGTTAACTATGCAATATAAATATTAATAATATTAACGAACGTATCCTTAGAATCACAGACATCAACATAAGCTCAGTGACTGGTATAGAAAGCCAGCTGATTATGCAACCCCCAGGGGGCCATGTTCCTGACCTTGTGAGGCTGACGATGAAGCAGCCCCTCCCTCCATTCAGCCAGCCCAGCAGCAGGCACTCCTCTCTCTGGCTGCCTCTTAGTCTCCCCAATACCCCATAAAAGCCTCATAACTCGCTCTCACAGCTGACAGAGTGAGCCACAGTCAGGCTGTGTGACAGGAGAAATTTAGATCTATTTGCTCTCCCCAACAATTATGTCTATTAATTCCAACGACTACTCTTCACTGCCACAAGCCCTCTCCCCACCGCCTGCCTTCCCTGTGGGGCTTCCCTCGGCCTCTGCACTTCCTCTTCAGGGACCAAACAGGCCTATTCCCCAAGTGAGAGAGACTTCTGGAGGGTCTCGGGGAAATGGAATTACAGAGCAAGCACGTGCTCAAGTACTATTGAAGAAATTACTGAATCTGTCCGGCCTCGCTCCTGAGGCCAGCCTCGCTATTGTTAGCGCGTGTAATCATTTCTCAGCTCATGTTTACTAGAGGCTGGAGAGACTGCGATGTTCACAGGCCGCTTAACGGGCCGGCGCTGCTTTGCAGGGCGCTGAATCACGTTGTTTTGCAACTCAGTGCTCTGCCCTTTAACTCAACAGTGAAAGCTAGTGTTTTGCTGGTAAATCGGGGCCGTTGAGCTTGGCTGACCCTGCTAAGAAGGCAGTTTCACCAGAAAAGAGGAGAGCAAAGATCACAGATGGGAAGAAAGAACAGGCTCCCAGAGACGGAAGCCAGGGGAATTGCTTAATGGGAACTGTCCCTTGCATGACCATAGTTTTAAAGGATAAAATACTAGACCAGCCACTTCTTCTGAAGCCCTCAAATACTCTGAGATTATAGCAACGATTTTCTAATGGCGTTTTATTATGACTTGGTTTAGTCCTTAATCCCGCCATTATCCTTCATATTACCTAAGTACAGAGTGGACAGCACATAGTCGGTCAGGTATGGGGCATCCTGGGAGCTAAGCAGGAGCTTTGATCTAGGTCCCTGACAGAGAGCACCTTTCTGTCAAGCAGTGTTATGTAGCTTCAGCTGGGAGTGAGCATTTCCTGCAATTTCTCTGTTTTACTCATTTATTGCAGGTATCCTTAAACTGGGACGATACAAAACAAGGAGGGGAGTCAAAAGTAACATGAGGAAAAGATAGTGGGTTTTATCACCAAAATGTGTGTGTGTGTGTGTGTGTGTGTGTGTGTAAAATCACCAAGTCATGGCCTGAGAAATGGTATTTGCTTCTTACCTCTACTTTATCAAACTATTTGTTCAACAAAACATCCTTACTATTTGCGCTCCTTTTGAACAAACTTTCCTGGATTTTATTTATTGAATTATGTGGTTATCCTGAAAGCAAGATAAATTTGAAAACACAATTTTATGAACATCCATGACTCATAGCTCCTTTTTCCATTTGAGAGTCACACACACACACACACACACACACACACACACACACCACAAGATAAGAAATCCATCCCTCTGCATTACCTACCACTTCCTCCCAATATTCTCAGCGGTAAACCTGGAGGATTAAGTTGGCCAGTGCTCTAACACCTTCTTACCTGCACAGTGGTCAGAAAGAGGCTCTGTCTTGGAGATGGAGAGCCTGGGGAATTGCTCATCAGCCTGCAGAACAGGTCAACCAGGACTTTACTTTCAGAGAGAAAAGTGGGGAGCTAGAGTTTACCTTTACCTTGACCCCAGTGGAACATCATAAATCATTAATTACCCCACATCCAACCCTCAAAGCTCTGCTCAGAGTTGGGATCATGAGACTGTGCCAGGCCTGTGGGCAGAGGTGGACAGGCCTGTGGGCAGGACTCGTGGGATGGCCATTTTCCCATCTGAAACATTCTATAGAAGATAGAATGAAGCCCCGTATGACTATCACAGAAAGGATTTTTAAGATATAAAGATGGCTAACTAGCAGGACACAAATATGGAATGACACATCGAGTTATGCTGTATCTAGAAGACAGTGGGAAGCCAAAAGAAGTTCTTGACCAAGGTAGTGGAATTATCAAATTAGTGCGTTAGCATGTGACTAACAGAGTAGATAAACTGGTACATCAGAGAGTAGGTGATGGGCTTTTGGACTAAGAAAATATTATAAGAAGAAATGGCAGGACCCATTACTAGTAAGGAGATTGAAATGGTAATCAAAAACCTCCCAACAAACAAAAGTCCAGGGCCAGATGGCTTCACTGGTGAATGCTACCAAACATTCAAAGACCGTCTCACTAGCAGCACATTGACTCTGCCCTGTCCAGGAAGACAGAGCTCAAACGTGACATCCACAGGGAAGGAGCAAGGCCAGTGCTATCGTGAAGAGGGCAGCACTCCCCCGGCAGGCACCAGAGCCATCTTCAGGCTAGGTCTTCTGCTGCCCGGCC